TCTTTACTTTATCTTACCGCGAGTAGACCGGATATCATGTACTCCGTTTGTATATGCGCTAGGTATCAATCTTGTCCTAAAGAGTCGCACTTGGTTGCGATCAAAAGGATAATGCGATATCTCGCGGGCACGTTGAACGTAGGTCTTTGGTATCCCAAAGGTTCGACATGTCATCTTGTTGGCTATTCCGACTCGGATTTTGCAGGTTGCAAACTCGATAGGAAAAGTACCAGCGGTACTTGCCACTTATTCGGTCATTCGTTAATCTCGTGGTTTAGTAAGAAACAGGTTAGTGTTGCACTTTCCACCACCGAAGCGGAATATGTCGCTGCGGGAAGCTGTTGTGCCCAAATTCTTTGGCTAAAACAACAACTAGTGGATTTCGGCCTCATACTTGATCACATCCCTGTTAGGTGTGACAATATGAGCGCTATCAGTCTTACGAAGAACCCTGTTCTTCACTCGAGGACTAAGCACATAGAAATTAGGCATCACTTCATACGAGATCATGTCCAAAAGGGAGATGTCACAATTGAGTTTGTTGAAACGAAACATCAATTGGCAGACATTTTCACGAAACCCCTTAGTAGGGAGAGCTTCTTCCACATTCGGAACGAACTTGGAATTTTGGATATCTCTATGAACTAATCCATTCCTTTTATTGACTATACTAATTTGAGCGTCGGAGGCGCGATAAATTCTTTTTGCAGGGCTTTTATTGTAGATATCTCTTCCCTTGGTATTCAACCGAATTGGACTTGATTGTTTTTCAACAAAACTGTAATCGATTATTCCTCAAAGAGAAATCGATTAGTCGCCTCTGTCTTTCTTAATCGATTACTCGTTTCATTTTAATCGATTAAAATGCAAAAACGTCTTTAGCGCTGATTCACCTTTTAATCGATTAATTTTGTTCAATTAATCGATTAGACTCATCTGTCCATATTAATCGATTAACCATCTCTGTTTAATCGATTAATATCTTGAAAAGAGACGTCTGTTTCTGCTTACTTCTAATCAATTAATAAGCTTAAATTAATCGATTAGCCTCGGCTGTGTTCCCTAATCGATTAAATACTTGTGAGTAATTGATTAATAGTCAATTTTTGCCTTATATCACACCCAGTCTTCGTCTTCTTCGCCATTCCTTCTTTTCGAATCAGAGAAACCCTAGCTTCTTCCCTTCTCAATTTTTCTCAATCTTCATCATAAAATTCTCAAATTTCTTCCATTTTTTTTGCCAAATTTCATCAATTTCAAAAAGGAAGAATGCCAAGGTGCAAGAACGCTTCCTCGGGTCAAGAAACGGCGGCAGAAGAGAATGAGAGGCCATGGCGTCGTGAAGGGAGCAAGTACATTCACATTCAAACGGGTCTCGCCTTCAACACTGTGGCTTCAGTTGAGAGGTTCTACAACATCTTCCTCACGAAGGAGATCGTCTCTCCCAAGATCGTGAACACGGACCTCTTCAACAAGGATTGCTTCGTTTCATTCATTTGACGTATGAATTTTTCTGTCCAAATCTTATACGTCAATTTTATGCAAATCTTCGTACCACTAAGGGAGGTTCGCCATCTCTCATTTCCTATGTTGACGGCAAAACCGTTTTCATTGACGGTGCCGGTTTGACTTCTTTGTTTGGCCTTCGTCGCGGTGAAATTACCAAAAACTTGGATGAAACATTCCAAGATGAGGCAATATGGCGACAACTCGGGTTAGATCATCTTGACCTCAAGTTTAGAAACTCTAGCAACCCGAGTGTCATTAATCTCACTTTAATTCAACGCGTCCAACAATACATTTTCTCATATGTTTTGTTGCCCCGTGATTCGAACCATGGCGTCGTCAACAAGGACGATATTCGTTTGTTTCACGTCGTGTTGAACGATGTCAAATTTGATTGGGTTCATTTCTTTATCGTTGCACTTAGCGATGGCACTCGTTTTTCCCATCTCCGTTTTGCCATCCCCATTATGCATATCCTTGCTCATTGCAAAATAGACCTTACTCGGGACACTCAGGTGCCGGTCAAGAAGACGTGTTTCATCACTGAAGCCAAGTTTTCCCTGATCGTGTATCGAGAGGAGGGCGATGCTGCACCAAATCTGGACTTGATCGTCGCCGAAGAAGAAGCAGAAAGCCAAAACGAGAATCAAGCTGAGTCATCTCAAGCCGGAGGTAGTCGAGCCACGGAGTGCGTCACTCGTCAACGGAGGACTCGTCCGAGAGAAGAAGCACCGGAACCATCTTGGGTGAAGAAGATCTTCGATGCTCTCACGTGCATCCGAGATGACGTTCGCCAGCTCAACGAGAGGATGACTCGTCTTGAGCAATCTCGCTCCTACCGTGCCCCGCGACACAGCTTCAGCGGAGGAGCTCGTCCGGCGAACTCTCTTTGATTATTTTCTCTTCTATCTTAACTTTTTATGATACATTGTTATTTGCACTTGTTGTTATAACTCTTTTGGGGAATGATGTTGTTGCTAATATGGTTCTCTTTTAGAACATATTGTCCCTTTGTGGCAATTCGTGTTAGAAGTTCTTTTGAAAACTCTTACAAATTTTTTTTCCCGGCATCAATTAAGGGGGAAGGTTGTCGGTTGATAATGCCAAAAGCGGGAAGGAAGGATCCTTGAGAAAACTTGTTTTTCAAAACTGTTTTTCCGCTTATTACTCCGATTATTTTTTACTGCACTTCTCTAACCTTGCAGGGGGAATCAATTAAGGGAAGTATTCTTTTAACTCTTTCTTTGCTTTTTCTCAACTATGTTTGTCATTATCAAAAAGGGGGAAATTGTTGGACATGAGTTCAAACCTCCTTGTTATTTTTTTTGGATTATTTTTTGTTTTGATGAATGACAAACAGGATGATTAAATGCAATAGATATTCGAAAATTTATTCGGATCGAGAAAAGCAAAGAAGGGCATCAAGAAGTTTCGGCGATAATTCACGCTCACCCCTACGCAGTTTTTTGAAGTGAAGCGAAGACTCCGAAGACTTTTTATTTTTATTGAGTATAGGAATTTTTGTAAGGATGACAATATCTTCTGCACAAAACAATTTAATTTCTGAGGGATAAAAATTATTTTTGAGTCAGTTGAAAAATCACTTTTCCTCTGTCTAAAATATTTTAGTGAGTCAGTTTCAAAATAACTGTGTCAAAATTTCTTTAAAACATTTTTAAGATTACACAATTTTCTTTGGTGAGAAAAATATACTTTAAATATTTTTTCGTGTATTGTTTGACACACAAAATAATATTTTGGACTCTCTTTTTCTCTCCCCTACTCAAATTCATTGAATAGGGAGATATTTTCCCAGGAGCGTGCCTTGTTATTCTCGTTGTCCCAAACAACGAGTTAGAAGCCAAAGTGCTTCCAATCGCACTTGGCTTGGGCCCTTTGTGTTTGCGCATTATTTTTCATTTTAATCGATTATATCCTTTAAGATAATCGATTAGATCCAGCGCAATTTCTCAGGTTTCAACTCTTAATCGATTATTTCTTTTAAGAAAATCGATTAGCTTGGACAGTACCTCCTAATCGATTTAAACTTTCACTTTAATCGATTTATAAGCTATTCGTTGGGCTACTCAACCTTGATCAATAATCGATTATTTATCCTTTGTTAATCGATTAGTTCGTACCGAACCTCCTAATCGATTATTTGTCTTCATTTAATCGATTATGATTCACTTTTCTTTTCAGGCTTTTCGCTTCTGTGTACAGTAATCGATTTAAACTTTTACTTTAATCGATTAATTTTATCTAGTGCATATTCTCAGCCTGCTTCAACAGCTTTATTTTCCTCAGCCTATTTAATCCCTCATCCTCCTTCATTTCAATACACACCTCTTGCACTCCAATATAATTTTTGAGCTATATTCATCCTTTGCTTCATCTTCCTCATCAAAATATTATTTTTGAGAGTTAGAAATATTTTTCTTTGAGTGCTAAAAGTAGTTGTCATCCATAGAGCTTAAATCTTTCAAACACTACTTGCTCAATTGTGTGAGCTCTCATTCTTGTGTTGTAAACTCAATCTCTCTTGAGTGATTGTTCGTAAGACTTGTGTGACTCAAGTCTTGTTGTTGTAAGAAAGTGAGGCTTGTGTGATTCAAGTTCTCAAGTTGTACCGGTTTTTCAAGCACCCGTTGAAGCTTGAAGATTAGTAGGACTTGTTGAAACACGGGCATGTCACGTTTTCGTACTAAAGCCGTGTTTGTTTTTATGACAGGTTTTGATAATGCCAAACCGCCGTGATCAAGTCAAACTTTGAATATACAAGGCGAAGAAGGAAGACAAGAACAAGAGCTAAAAGAAGACCAAGAACGAAGACCTTAGTCTTAGTGTCGTTGAGTCGGTCTTCACTGTGATCAAGACCGACCCAATCTTTACACCTTGGCTCTTTAGGCTAAAAACTTCATTGCACTTCTTAAATCATAAAAATGCTTTTTAAACATGTTTAAGTCATTAAAAACACTTGGTGTTCGTCCAAACCAAAAACCAAGCCATCCAGCGTTCGGGTTTCAGAAACTGGCGTTCGGCTCTCGGTTTTTACTCTTTGGCATGTTTAAACGGTTCTCCAACAAAAACACCTTGAAAACCATCTCTCGCTTTTGGTCGTTTGACAAAAATCATTCAACGGCATAAAACTTAGCTAGCCGTGGTTTTCACTTAAATGACGTGGTTTTTAAAGTGTCTTACTCGATTTATTAGCCAAATACATCAAATAAGTGTTTTAAACTCTTGGTTTTTATTTTGGAGAACTTTGAATTTTTCGGTCGGGTTACGCATCGGTTGGCTAGGCCGTGGTTAAGCCAAAAACCATGGGTTCTTGACTAACCACTCACCCAGCGATGGGAAGATCTTCCCATCGATGGGTAAGCGGCTCCTCAGCCAAACCAGTTTCCAGAACCATGCCAAACAGCGATGGGGAGTTCCACCCATCGCTGTTAGAGCCTTGGTGCAAAATTACCACAAGGCAGAACGACCTTGCCCAGCGATGGGAAGTCTATCCCATCGATGGGAACCCAGC